ATTTATGGGTGCAGGAGATATAACAAGTTTAATCAAAGCTTTGCAAATTTGAGTAAAATATTACAAGTTTAAATAAATTATTAAGAGTGGAATGATTTTAACCCATCAAGATAGTTATGTCTTCAATTATTTATTATTTAAGTAATTGTTACAAAGAAACATCTAATGATTCATTTCTTATGAAAATTAATAATTTTGTGGTAAACAAGATTGTCTGACTTTAATTCAACAGTGTAGATGTTTGTTGAGTTATTTATTTTTTTAAGGAAATGATTGAAAAAAATCCTTTTAATTTCTAATGCAAATTAATTATGATGTATCAGTATAGATGTAGGATTTTAATCCATCAGTACACTTGTTTGTTGAACTATTTATTTCATAAGAATTGGTAAACTGAAACATCTTATGATTAACTTATCGAACTGAATAATTTTATATTAGTATACATTTTCGATTTTAATCCATCAGTCCACATAATAATATTATACACGTTATATGTATTAAACTTCATTCTATGAAGTTTGTAATCATTACAATGTCATGTAATCGAACTTTTTACAAAATATTCTCTTCATAAAATTAATAAAAATTAAGTGAACAGGATTCATTTATATCGAGATCAATTTTTCCGTAAATACATTATTGCACCTCAAATATTACACACTGCAATGGCAGTTAATTCGTGTTTCCCGATTACCAAGTTAACACGTTGAGTACCGTGATGAATATGACCATGTACCTTGCGGAACACCGCAATCAAAATTTTCACGAATATGAATATTTAACGTGCTCACTATCGTGCGAATCATGGGTGATTGACGGAATAAATTTAGACTGATCACTTAACTAAACAATTACGAAAATCGGATAATTTTATATATCACCGTAGTTGGAAATACGAGACGTATACCAAAATACCTGAATTTTTTGTTAAAACAAAAAATTAATGGTAGAGTAAATAATATTCTGTTAGATACATTTTGCAGAAAATTAGGAAGAAAGCTTCGTCCTTGATATTTTAAATGATTTAACCGCTAAATTTGTTATTTTATTACATTAATACAGTATGTTAATATAAGTTAATTAGTTAATATATTAATATAATTAACATCTTACACATAATAATTTATATAAAATCTTAATTATGATGTCTATTAATTTATAATATTTGTGTCCTGTCGAATTGAGAAGCAATTTGTTGATTTCATCATTTTCTACACTGTGAACAAATTTTTTTACAAATACTAAAAGATGTACAAATTCAATTTACTAATAAAATAAAAAATAACGTCATACAAAAAATTGTATTCCATTTTTCCTTATGAATTTATCCAGTTCTGGTTGTACCAAAAAACCCTACATAAGATTCTGAGTCAATTAAAATTATTTACATTGTGTTTGAATTGATAATATTTTAAGCGATAATTGTCAAATGATTACAAGTTTAAACAATGATAATTGTTAAATGATTGCAATTGACTCAAAATAAAGGAAAGATTAATGTATCGTTAAAATGTTTACACAGACATTTCCGTCGATAATTACAATGACTTTAGAACTATTTACAGATGCGAAGTTCTCCGGAAGCGATAAACAAGTTGTGGACGCCAATTCGTCCAAACTGTTGAACACCATGAGAGGGTCATCCGATTAAGGTCTCGGACTCATCGTCGAAGGTAAGCCTCGTCAATTTTACAATTATACGCCCACAAAGCATCGTTAACTCATTGACGCTCGTCAACTTCCTAATTGGCACACGATACGACCTTTTTTCGGCCAATTTTTCCAGCTCGTTTAGTCGCCAAGGTAATTGGCGGTTTATTTTGCTTGCAATGCTGACTGCAGTTAAAGCCTGCAGTTAATGAACCGACTGACAACGCGAAACTTTTGTAAATAATTTAATTTATAGCAAATTATAGTTTTGATAGGCCAGTTACTTTTATAAAATAATGTAAAATTATGAAATAGTTGATGTTATACAATTTTTGAAAAATTCAAAATATGTTTGTTGACTTTTAATTAAAATGGAAAATGCTTAATTAACGTTGAAATATGAAAGATATTTCATGTAAATATTTTCATATTTTATGTTTCAAAAATATTTCATATAAATGTTTTCGTATTTCATATTTCAGAAATATTTCATATAAAAATTTGTTCATATTTCACATTTCAAAAATATTTCATATTTTTATGTGAAAAATTTAAAGGACGAAATTCATACAAACAGATGACTATAAAAACAGAATGACTATAAAACAGATGACTATCTACATTTTTATATTATAAATAATTTTTATATTTACATTTTGACAATGACTTAAATAATGACTTAAAGGTAATATGTTACGTACTTTGATGTTCATTAAATTTTACATCCATAATAAATTTTGCAATCGTAATATGTTAAAACTGAATTTCAGTTTGAAAATATTTAAAAATGATTCTTTAAATAAAAGTATAAAATTACAGCTTTCGTTAAATTATTACAACAGTCACTTTCCATAAATGGCTATCTATAAACACAACAGTGTAATGCTCTTAGAAGATTAGGAATCTTTCATAAAACGTTGCGTTAGTATTACTTAAACCTCAACATTCTTGTACATCGATATAACTAAAAGGTTTTATTAAACGTGTGATAAAGTTGATAGTACGTGTAAATTTGTTCCTTCAACGGAAATATATACGATCCCTTAAAACCTCTTCTGAGATTTAGTACCGAAACGTTTTAACGCATTGTGAGCAAAGCAGCTGTAATTTTTCTTTGTGTCCGTCTTTTTCCTTGAAGCTATCATGATTGGAGTGCAACCAAAATATATTAGGAGTAGGTTCAAGCTTGGCTTGATATTATAGATTATTTTGGATCGATAGTTTGAATAATTCAATAATAATTTAAAATACAACAGCATTTTTATAAAATTTAAATTTAGCAGTTTTAACGAAATTTGAAGTTAGAAATCGTGGATTTTGATAATTGTAAGTAGTTTAAAAAAGATATAGGTATAAACAGTTTCAAGTATAATTGAACTTTTGATTACAAGTGTAATTAAAGTAGATTCAATTATTAAAGTATCTTTTACACATACTATGATTAGAAGTTTATTTTATTGCAATTACATTATAATAATTAAAATTATGTAATTTTCATAGTAAGTGAATCTAATGTTAATAAATACGTAAATATCAATTATGAAAATTCTAAGTTTATTAATCTTATTCATTTTTATAAATAATTTTATTGGGAAGTTTGTTACAAAGTTTGTCACTAAGTTCAATCTTTCTAAATTTGAATCGATAATTAATAAAAAAAAATACTCAATTTCGATTTAATGGACTGATTTAAAATTAATCTACATATATGTGCAGAATTTAATATAACAATCAACAAGTTCATTTATAAATAAAAAGATTAATAAAATTAAGAAAGTTAATCAAGTATTAAATAAAATAAACTAAAGTAATTACTTTAAATATTGATTAATTACTTTATCTTAAATATTGATATTAAAATAAAAATATCAAGAAATATTTTGTGCTAAGTAAATTTATTTAAATATATATTTGCTACATTTTGGGAACATTCAAAATAGAATTGAAAATATTTTCAATAATTTCGTTAATTATGAAATTTTTATTTATGTTTGGTAATGCTAGAATTTTGTAAAGCATATTTACAACAGGAAATAAAAAAAGGTTGAACAACATCAGCTTTTGCGTTCTTACCTTATTTTATAATAATAAATAAAACAAATAAAAATTGCAGTATATTTTTAAAAGTTATTTAATGGCAAATTCCTGCGTGACTCACGTATACTTTTCTATATTTATTATATTAAAAAAGATAGTAACTTCTGTTACTTTTAAAAGTAACATAAATTTCTGTTGCCTTTTAATCTGATACAACCTTGAATTCTATTTACACGCTATATATTTCACATACTATAATTTCAAACTAGATAATTCATTTTTCATGTAAATATCTCTCGCGAACAATAAGCACTGAAGTTTCACGAAGTGTTCTTTTGTATTGCAATTGACTCCGATTCGTGAGTCCATATTGAACTTGATCTCATCCCCAAACCACTCGATGCAAACTTCGCTCAAGATAATCTTTTTTCGCGTAAATCACAACAAGGATTTAATTATGCATGGGCGTCTGACAACATACTGCGCTAATCAGCATCTAAAGGACTTCCTAGTGTTACGACTCAATATTATGTACCGGCTTTTCTCATCGCTTGCAGTCTAATGCCCCCGAACATCGAGGCCATTGTACACTCCACAACATAAACACAGTGCACTTTGATCATCTCATTATCATTAGAGATTATTTTGATTATTATAGATATAATCGGTAACTGCAGATATAATTGATAATGACAACTAGCTTTCTTGTATTTATAACTGCTTCACAGTTATAACAAGCGATGTATTTACATTACAAAATATTTTTATTATCACAGAATTGATCCACACTTATCTTTAAATCGATATGTTACTTTGTCTTCGAACATATCTACATAAATCTCAATTTTTATCTACGTTATATTCCTATGCGCAAATAATTAATCGAGAACATTCTCAGCCGTGCGCTAACACGCCCGATCAATTCACTAAATTATATCACGACCTAATATTCTCACATCCGCTTTACGGTCACGAAAAATCGTCTCGTAAAATTTGCAGGCTTCGAAACTCCCCTTATCGAACCCCACATAAGTTCCCCTTTATGATTTACACCCCATCCAATAATTCGTAACACACCCCATTCGTTATTTTCACACGGAAGTTCCAAAATATGCGTCGTATTATATTTTTACTGCGTGTTTCCCCGTGTTCAATATTCGGAGCAATGACATTCGAATAGAGCAGACGATGCTCTAACGAAAGGACGCGATTTGTGACAGGGTATTTAACAAGATGGCGAACCGCGTGCCCACCATGGTCCCGCGTTCGCCAGATTACTGAAAATACTCGCGCACGTAATAAACACCAACCTGTTCGCTGCGTGACGTCGCCGTTCTGTCGAACCGCGCCGGCGGCGTCGTCCTTGCTCGGATTCACTTGTACATCCGTCATATTTTACTCCGTCAAGCACCTCTTGTTTGGCCGTGAATTAACGCGACGGCCGGTCGTCACACTTGCTACGTCGTTACACGCGCGATAAAACGCGGCGGGAAACGTTTGGTAAATAAACCGGGCGGAAAAAGGGATCGCTTTAATCGACGACGTAATCAAAGTGGAAGACGAAACGCGCGGCACTTGCGACGCGTTTGAACTGACTGGCTCGGCCGCC